ATGTTGAAGCTATTACATATCTACTACAAAATGATCAAGCTATTACATATAGTCCACTTCACCAATTTTGAAGTTTATTACATAATCCACTAGTGATGTTGAAGCTTATTACATATCCACTTACATATGTTGAAGCTATTACATATCTACTACCAATGTTGAAGCTTATTACATATTCACTACCAATGTTGACGCTATTACAGACCAGAATTAGTAATGTTGAAGCTATTACATATCTAATACCAATGTTGAAGCTATTACATATCCACTTCCAATGTTGAAGCTATTACATGTCCAACACATATGTTGAAGCTTAATACATAGCTACTACCAATGGTGTGAAGCTTATTATATGCACTATCAATGTTAAAGCTATTACATATCTCCTACCAATGCTGAAGCTATTACATATCCTACTACATATGTTGAAGCTTATTACATATTCACTACCAATGTTGAAGGCTATTACATATCTCTATCAATGCTGAAGCTATTACATATCCACTTACCAATGTTGAAGCTATTTCATATTCACCACCAATGCTAAATATTATTATGTCTAATTTTGTCAGTCTTTTAGCTATTACATATCTACTACCAATGTTGACGCTTACTACATATTCATTCACCAATGTGTTGAAGCTATTACATTTCACTACTACCAGTGTTGAAGCTAATATATTAATCCACTACAAATGCTGAAGCTATTACATATTCACTACCAATGTTGAAGCTATTACATATCTCCTACCAGTGTTGAAGCTATTACATATCCACTACATATGTTGAAGCTATTACATATCCACTACCAATGTTGAAGCTATCACATATCTAGTACCAATGTTGAAGCTATTACATATATGTACTACCAATGTTGTAGCTATTACATATCCACTATCATTGTTGAAGGTGTTACATATCCACTATCATTGTTGAAGCTATCACATATCTACTACCAATGTTGAAGCTATTACATATCTACTACCAATATTGAAGCTATTACATATCCACTGTCAATGTTGAAGCTGTTACATATCCACTACCAATGTTGAAGCTATTACATATCCACTACATATGTTGAAGCTATTACATATCTACTACAAATGATCAAGCTATTACATATAGCTCCACTACCAATTTTGAAGCTATTACATTAATCCACTAGTGATGCTAGCTATTATATATACACTACATATACAGCTTATTACATATCTACCACCAATGCTGCTTATTGCATATTCACTAACAATGTTGACGCTATTACATATCCACTAGTAATGTTGAAGCTATTACATATCCACTACCAATGTTGAAGCTATTACATATCCACTACATATGTTGAAGCTATTACATATCTACTACAAATGATCAAGCTATTACATATAGTCCACTACCAATTTTGAAGCTATTACATATCCACTAGTGATGTTGAAGCTATTACATATCCACTACATATGTTGAAGCTATTACATATCTACTACCAATGTTGAAGCTATTACATATTCACTACCAATGCTTGACGCTATTACATATCCACTAGTGATGTTGAAGCTATTACATATCTACTACCAATGTTGAAGCTATTACATATCCACTTCCAATGTTGAAGCTATTACATGTCCACCACATATGTTGAAGCTATTACATAGCTACTACCAATGGTGAAGCTATTACATATGCACTATCAATGTTAAAGCTATTACATATCTCCTACCAATGCTGAAGCTATTACATATCCACTACATATGTTGAAGCTATTACATATTCACTACCTAATGTTGAAGCTATTACATATCCACTATCAATGTTGAAGCTATTACATATCCACTACCAATGTTGAAGCTATTTCATATTCACCACCAATGTTGAAGCACATTACATGTCTACTCACAATTTTAGCTATTACATATCTACTACCAATGTTGACGCTATTACATATTCACTACCAATGTTGAAGCTATTACATATCTACTACCAGTGTTGAAGCTATTACATATCCACTACAAATGTTGAAGCTATTACATATTCACTACCAATGTTGAAGCTATTACATATCCATACATAATACCAATGTTGAAGCTAATCACATACATATCCACTACCAATGCTGAATGTTGACGCTATTACATATCCATACCAATGTTAGCTTATAACATATCTCCTACCAATGTTGAAGCTATTACATAATTCACTACCAATGCTTTCGAAGCCTATTACATCTCCAGTACCAATGTTGAAGCTATACATATTACTACCAATGTTGAAGCTATTACACATCCACTCCCAATGTTGAGGCTTATTACATATCCACTACCAATGTTGAAGCAATTACACATACTACCACTGTTGCTTATTACAATGTTGAAGCTATTACATATCTACTACCAATGTTAGACGCTATTATACATATGTACTCACCAATGTTGAAGCTATTACATATCCACTACCAATGTTGAAGCTATTATTACATATTCACTACCAATGTTGAAGCTATTACATATCCACTACCAATGTTGAAGCTATTACATATCCACTACTAATGTTGAAGCTATTACATATTCACTACCAATGTTGAAGCTATTACATATCCACTACCAGTGTTGAAGACAGCATATCCACTACCATATGTTGAAGCTATTACATATCCACTACCAATGTTGAAGCCATTACCTATCCAGTACCAATGTTGAAGCTATTACATATATGTACTACCAATGTTGTAGCTATTACATATCCACTATCATTGTTGAAGGTGTTACATATCCACTATCATTGTTGAAGCTATTACATATCCACTACCAATGTTGAAGCTATTATTACATATCTACTACCAATGTTGAAGCTATTACATATCCACTACCAATGTTGAAGCTGTTACATATCCACTACCAATGTTGAAGCTATTACATATCATACTACTATATGTTGAAGCTATTACATATCACTACCAATGATCAAGCTATTACATATCCACTACCAATTTTGAAGCTATTACATATCCACTAGTGATGTTGAAGCTATTACATATGTTAGGCTGTACATACACTACAATGTTGAAGCTATTACATATCTACTACCAATGTTGAAGCTATTACATATTCACTACCAATGTTGACGCTATTACATATCCACTAGTAATGTTGAAGCTATTACATATCCACTACCAATGTTGAAGCTATTACATATCCACTACATATGTTGAAGCTATTACATATCTACTACAAATGATCAAGCTATTACATATAGTCCACTACCAATTTTGAAGCTATTACATATCCACTAGTGATGTTGAAGCTATTACATATCCACTACATATGTTGAAGCTATTACATATCTACTACCAATGTTGAAGCTATTACATATTCACTACCAATGTTGACGCTATTACATATCCACTAGTGATGTTGAAGCTATTACATATCTACTACCAATGTTAAAGCTATTACATATCCACTTCCAATGTTGAAGCTATTACATGTCCACCACATATGTTGAAGCTATTACATAGCTACTACCAATGGTGAAGCTATTACATATGCACTACCAATGTTAAAGCTATTACATATCTCCTACCAATGCTGAAGCTATTACATATCCACTACATATGTTGAAGCTATTACATATTCACTACCAATGTTGAAGCTATTACATATCCTCTATCAATGTTGAAGCTATTACATATCCACTACCAATGTTGAAGCTATTTCATATTCACCACCAATGTTGAAGCTATTACATGTCTACTTCCAATGTTTTAGCTATTACATATCTACTACCAATGTTGACGCTATTACATATTCACTACCAATGTTGAAGCTATTACATATCTACTACCAGTGTTGAAGCTATTACATATCCACTACAAATGTTGAAGCTATTACATATTCACTACCAATGTTGAAGCTATTACATATCTCCTACCAGTGTTGAAGCTATTACATATCCACTACATATGTTGAAGCTATTACATATCCACTACCAATGTTGAAGCTATCACATATCTACTACCAATGTTGAAGCTATTACATATATGTACTACCAATGTTGAAGCTATTACATATCTCCTAGCAATGTTGACGCTATTACATATCCACTACCAATGTTGAAGCTATAACATATCTCCTACCAATGTTGAAGCTATTACATATTCACTACCAATGTTGAAGCTATTACATCTCCACTACCAATGTTGAAGCTATTACATATCTACTACCAATGCTGACGCTATTACATATTCACTACCAATGTTGAAGCTATTACATATCCATTCCCAATGTTGAAGCTATTACATATCCACTACCAATGTTGAAGCAATTACATATCCACTACTAATGTTGAAGCTATTACATATCGTCTATCAATGTTGAAGATATTACATATCTACTACCAATGCTGACGCTATTACATATGTACTACCAATGTTGAAGCTATTACATATCTACTACCAATGTTGAAGCTATTACATATTCACTAGTAATGTTGAAGCTATTACATATCCACTACCAATGTTGAAGCTATTACATATCCACTACTAATGTTGAAGCTATTACATATCCTCTATCAATGTTGAAGCTATTACATGTCCACTACCAATGTTGAAGCTTTTACATATCCACTACCGATGTTGAAGCTTTTACATATCCACTACTAATGTTGAAGTTATTACATATCCACTACCAATGTTGAAGCTATTACATATTCACTAGCCAATGTTGAAGCTATTACATATCTACTACAAATGATCAAGCTATTACATATAGTCCACTACCAATTTTGAAGCTATTACATATCCACTAGTAATGTTGAAGCTATTACATATCCACTACACATGTTGAAGCTATTACATATCTACTATCAATGTTGAAGCTATTACATATCCACTACATATGTTGAAGCTATTACATATCTACTATCAATGTTGAAGCTATTACATATCCACTACCAATGTTGTAGCCATTACATATCCACTACCAATGTTGAAGCTATTACATATCTACTACCTGACGTAGTTTCGTTTTCGGGAGTCACAGTTGTTGTGTCGGGAACTGAAGCCAGGAGGAGAATGAAAAGAAACAAGGGCCACAATCAACAGCTGTCTGGCTGTTTGTCAACAAGTTACATAGAACTTCATTTAGACACACTTCACTAATACCAAAAGATATATTTCAGAGAGAGCGAAAGCCATTAAAGTGTGACAGCATGGACAATAGAATATGTCTTGAATACACTCACTGTTTTGTACTTACCAGTGTCACAGAAAGGTCCAATATAGTTGTCAATGCAGCCGAGGGTGCAGTGCCCATTTTGTTGATTGCAGACACTTTTCGAGCAGTTAGTGCTGCAGGTTTGATTGCAATACTTGTTATACCAGCCTCTTCTACATCCTTCAGGACATGTTCCACTGTTTAAGTCACAGAATCTGTCAAATGTGTTCTTTGGAACAGCGCATTGTAAAGGACAAGGCTTGTCACACAGTTCTCCAAATGAACGAACGCCGCATTCCGCATCGGTGAACACACTAACTGCTAAGCATGGGGAAAGACACAGAGAATGGTTACACCGAAACCCAAATAAATGTTTTCGAACAGATAACCACATTTACATAAAGCATTACATTGCCCAAAAAATTGGATGCTACATATTATGTTTTCATCATAATCTGTGCATTTGGCTATTTTGTAATACTACAGGATAATTATATTGCCTGGAAGGAAAACATGATTCAGTCATCTCAAACTCGCCAGGTGAGGTGTGCCATATTTATTGCTGGTTTGACTGGTTTAACAACAGAAAATGGAGTGTTCTGCCATAAAGTCAGACATAGGGTATTATCATACAAACAGTTCTACAAGATGCTCCTGCTTATACAGAACCGTTCTGGAAACCTGGTCTGTAACCTATATAATCTCAGTCATGTTTCTTTCAATACATCATTTTCGAGACATCAATTCACACAATAGATACCAGGATTTGACTTCAAATTGCTACGTCTCGAGTGCTCTCCAAGACTAGGGTTAACACACTAACAAGGGATAATGACAATTATATATTGTCTTAAGAAACGGTTACTTTACCATTTGAATGAATGTTGTTATGTTCAAATTGTTTGGAACGTGATTACAAAGCACAAGAAAAAACGTGAATGACTGGATTCATGTACATATAAAGCTACTGTCAAGGTGATGACACATTTACTCACAGAATGATATGAAGACGCAGATAGAAAGGAACATGGTGACCTTGTATTCTGTAACAGAGGAAACGTTAAACAGGTCAGAATACCATTTGTCATGTAACATACTGTAGGGCTTTGGGAAGTGGTAAAGAGGAAACAAACTTCTCTGCAGTGTAATAGCAAAGGTTGTGGGCAGATTGTTTCATTTACTAGCATATACCACTTCAGTATGATTTGTTTGCTATGAGCACGTTCATTGTCATCCATGTATGTGTTCAGTTCAGGGAGTGGGGAAGCTTGCCATTTAGGACAAGCATGTACAATGAGCAGTACGTGGTAGGATGTTTTTAAATAGAATAATGTCACTTGTTTAAAGGCCACAAAACATATTGTTACACGTTTTACACGTGCCAGAACTAATATGAACACACAAATTGCAGACAACTGCAGACAACAGCAGACACATTTTATGGGCCTGAGACATTACCCACAAAGACCCCGCTGCCAGCCATAAGAGTTGGCTAAACTTAGAGTAACTTAGCATGAACAATCTTGCCAACCTGTGCCAGTGGTGGGAGGTAATAACATGGATTTGCCTGTCCAACTGTTCCGGCTGCGCGACTTACTGATGGGCGTTTGTGTGTGGATTATTGCCCTTCAGATCAATGACGGAGTTACTGGCAGAGTTCCTTAGATCAGAGGAAGCTGTCAACAAGCAACTCTTTGTTACACCTGGCGAATGAAGGATGACCAGGAAGTTGATGACTTCGCATCAATACTGTAAACAAACATATACGGAAGTGTTTAGACAACGTGTTAGTTGAGATTGTGTGCATGAACTTGGCATGTCTATCTCCCAAGTATGTGATGGTATATATCCTGCGACAAAACATGATCTTTTGTGGTTGATAATGCAATATTGTCTCGTGTGTGACAACTCTAATCCCAGTTGTCTTACAGGCGTATCAACAGTTATGTATAAACAACGTCCTGCTTAGCGTGCCTTCAGGGTTATTTGTAGCAAGGGTCTTGGTACATTTGTCATACACAGGTGGAAAGGTTACTATGCGTAACTGATCATTTTATATGAAAAGCCTTTGTAACAGAAAATATATTGATGCCCACAGAACATGAATCCATCGTGTCAACACAAATGAAGTAATCTCATGGAGAACGTGGCGTCCATATTTGAGTATGACCTCCATTAGCAATGATACATTCTACTTAACGGAAATTCAATGGCGAAACTTGGTGGTTGAAGAACGCCTGTGGGAAGTTAAATCAGATCAGAATCAATGCCTTTCGAAGCTTGACCAACGTCGCCGGTAGGTCTAAAAGTCGTCGTTGATGCCGGGTGATTTCATTGGACTCATGTTGGTTGGGTAACAGAAACAGTGGAATGGTACACAAAGGGAGTTTGTGGATGCTATGATGTCTCTGATTTGAACCCTCCAACCACAAAGGGGGTATTTATTGTCCTTCAGTAGAGTGATGTGATGTTTGTGGTTTCGGACACTCGAGAGGAAGCTAGGGCGACAGAACCAAAGTCAGTTTCGACAGATGATAAAGGCTGAGTGTACACTGGGATTGACACTGAATTTATTTGCAAAATGCCTTACAAACCGAGCGTGAGATGGGAATAAAAGAAAATAGCAGGCTTAAGTTCATAATAAAAAGCCATGAAAAAAACATCCAAGAAAGTTATATGCCCTCAGAATTTGAACACCGCCTATTTGGCTTAATACCTTAAGAACGAAACGCTCAAGGCTTGGTAGAAAATACATGGACAGTTATATAGAAGTCCCAAATGACTTCACACAAGTACAAGCATAAACAATTCTGAACTCATTCCCAAACTCTGAAAACATCTCTAGAACCTATTTGGAAAATGGACATAGACAGTAAAGATATACGTGAAATATGTAAAAACACACAATAACATATTTGAAACATCTCAGTAGAAGAATCCCTCCAAAAGGAACACATGTAAAGGGGCTACACTGATACTTCCTCGTCAGGTGGGAAAGGCAGACATGTGTAATATGAATAATACGCCACTTAGTAACAGCACGTGGACTTACCGAGCACCAAAGTACTGAATCCTGTTCACAAATTACACACACGTGTCAAGTCTGTACCCTGTAGTCAGACTAGATGAACATGTATCAGGAGACATTTTACCTCTGTTTTCCAACGCAGCTTGTCCAGGTGGACAAAGACGGGTATTGTTGACAGTCACGGAAGAACGGGTTGGGTATCCATACAACGGTGGGCCCTGCATTTCATTGCTACATTGAAAGTCTATATTTAGCTACGATTCATGCTTTGAATATGTCGACTTGACTTAAGGCACAGCTGAACTGCACACTCCGCCCTCATACTATAGTATGTGCATAGAGCTTTACACATAGATGAATACAAGATACATGTAACTAGATAATCACTGTGCATATAGCTCCATTGCAATATAACACTTAGAGTTAAGATGGAGCATGGCTCAGGGAACTATTTGTATCAACATGAACTAAGTATATTCCAATCGTTCATTGTATTTTCAGAATACATATTGACTAGTTTGAACAGGTTAAACTGGTTTGAATTAAACCTATTGGTCTCTTTCGCTTTCAGTTGGTGAGATGTAGTTTGCTTGATCGTCAACAGGGACGCTCTTCATCAGGTGCGTGTATGTGTGCGAGTCTCTGGTGTAACTGCCAGATGCCGCATCAGTTCCATCATCTGTGTCAGCTGCTGGTTGAAAGATGTCAGACAAGACAGCCATGTGTCCAATGTTTCCTTCAGGGTCTGTCGGTCTCTGAGGTGGAGCCACACACCTCCTTCAGGGTCTGCCGGTCTCTGAGGTCTCCAGTCTGTCCATACCTCCTTCAGGGTCTGCCGGTCTCTGAGGTGGAGCCACACATTCCAGTCTGTCCATACCTCCTTCAGGGTCTGCCGGTCTCTGAGGTGGAGCCACACACTCCAGTCTGTCCATGCCTCCTTCAGGGTCTGCCGGTCTCTGAGGTGGAGCCACACATTCCAGTCTGTCCATACCTCCTTCAGGGTCTGCCGGTCTCTGGGGTGGAGCCACACACTCCAGTCTGTCCATGGCTCCTTCAGGGTCTGCCGGTCTCTGAGGTGGAGCCACACACTCCAGTCTGTCCAAACCTCCTTCAGTGTCTGCCGGTCTCTGAGATGGAGCCACACACTCCTGTCTGTGCATGGCTCCTTCGGGGTCTGTCGATCTCTGGGGTGGAGCCACACACTCCAGTCTGTCCATGTCTCCTTCAGGATCGGCCGGTCTTTGAGATGGAGCCACACACTCCAGTCTGTCCATGTCTGATCTCATAGTATCTGTGCAATGGCTGGTAGTCCACGGCACGGGCCTCAGGTTCTTGGGGCGATATTGTAGCAAGGCGAATGCTTTCTGTTCGACTTTCTCTGTTAAAGAAATTATGGAGTCTAGATAACTCAATGGCACAAAAGGTAAATAGCGTTTGTCTAGCCACATATTACATAAATCACAAAGGTCAATGCACAAATTAGTTTTATTATTATCTACCACAGCACTAAAGCAAGTCATGTGAAATTACCAAATCCGAGTTTGAAATACATTGACCACACTAGAAAAGATGCCACCTATAATTTGTATCAAGACATACTCCAGCCATTTTCGGCTGCTTTCAGTAGCATTTTCCTTCAATGTTGCTCTATCGTGACTTTGGTAGAAATCAATTTTTGGTACAAGCGTTTTTTTCCAAAAATAACAAAGCAAGTGAAACGTTATCATGTCTGAGTTTCTTGTATTTGTCCTGTATTCCCACCTTCGTGCTGACATCCCCTTGCGGTAACAGAAGTAACACACGCACATTGACATCAAGATGGTTTGTAAAATCAGGAGAGACGTGATGAGAAACACCAAATATCCTGATGACTTCATTTCTGGTTTGGGGCTGTTGATTCCATCGTCTGTCAAAGAGAACACGTTCAAGAGGTTCATGACATTGTTAGACATTACACAGGATATATCACTAACAAACGTACAAACCGTTTTGTAAACCATTTGCTCTTCTATTTTATGTTATTGGAATGGGTTACGGATATCCTATATGAATACGTGTAACAAAACATTATCGTCTGAAACACTCCGAATGTCTGTTGTCTGGTAATGGCCGCAAATATACGGCCAAGTTGTTCTATGTATTAGATTTTCAAACACAACTATGTACTCGGTCACGTCTTGAGCTATTATGCATTTTGAAGCGAATTAATCATCTTCTTCATTGTAAACACACACATGTTAACACACCTGTAGTACATGACTCTAAGATGTATGCCTCTGGGCAGTCTCCGGTCTGATCACAAACACCATCGGTGCAAGTGTCGCAGGAGTGGCCACACTTGTCTCCATAATATCCTGTGATGCATCCATTGACACAAGATCCGTTCTGCGAGTCACAAGTACCACCTGCACAATTGATGGGGCACGATGTGCAATAAAGACCAAAGTATCCAGAATTACAACCATCTAAACATGCACCCGTATTACTGCATCTCGTTCCATGACACTGAGTGCACTGAGATGAACACTCGGCACCATACCAGCCATGAGTGCAACCGTTGATGCAGATCTTGCCGAGATTGTGGCATTCCTTGCCACAGATGCTCTGATTCAGGCTTGATGGACATTCCTTCACACATTTCGCTTCACATGGACCTAAGCAGTGTTTACAAGAGTCCTCACATCTCAGATACGATGGATGGCATTCTGCACACGTCCCTGTTATCCTGTTGCAGGTCTTGCATCTGCTGGAGCAGTTCCTGCAGGACGAGCCGTAGTAAGAGTCAAAGCATCCTGACACACAGGACGATCCCTGGTAGCAGTATCTCCCTCCACATCGGCCTTGACATCTTCTACAGATACTTCCGGGTTCTGTACAGGGACGATTACAGTTATCACCTCGAAACCCCGGTATACAACCCTTCGTGCATCTCCCGATCCCAGTACTTGTTGCTTTACACGTGTGATTCTGGCAGTTCCTGCTGCATCTGCTGCTACAGTATTTATCAAAATATCCCTGCTCACACTCTGTGAGGCATATACCGTGGTCTGTACAGTCTGAACAGTGTTGGTTACTCACACACGGTGAAGCTGAAACGATACAATAGTAAAGGCCATTCCGTTATTCACTGTGATATACTTTTATAGTTCTCTGTACCCTCAACATCTGTATATCTATCTGAAGCATCACTTGAGTGTGTAATGTCGTCATTTATGTTCCTGTGAATTATGTGAGACTGGATTATTTCTATTATATTATATAACCCCTTAATAGAAAGAAAATGATTCAGCTCTACCTTGGGTGGATGTTACTATATGTGCCACACATATAATCTGCGTAACGATCTTGATAGACCTGAAAAGATATGCATATTACATCTCAATGACTGTACGCATATACAGTGGTTACATTTACATCTGTACACCTACATTGCATTTACACAGATGGCTGAAAACATGCCATGAAGTCACTCAAAGAATCCAAACTGACCAATCGAACATCATTTTTGATGCTTTCATTTGATTTCTGCTATATTCCTTTGATGCCTTATATTTAAAGGAATGGTAAATAAAGAGACAATTTGCTGCGATTTGGATTCAAAAAACGGTTCTAAAAAAGGAAGTAAGTGCAAGAGAAAAATAAAGTGATTTTCGTAGATAATATGTAAAAGGGAATTCGAAAATGCACGAATATTAAACTTGGGCTATCCAAACCAAAACTTTCGAGATGTGTCCTGAAGCTCCGAGCAATGTTTTCATTCGCTGATATGTAGACATGGTGCAATGTAGAATTTATTTCAGGATGTTGCGCAGCTACTGGAATACGTCAGGCAGTGGTCACACGGAGCTCACACACCAATCTGAGTATGTTCTTAACATGAAAACTTTGCGTGCGTGTTAAGTGTGTGAAATGATTTTGTATCTTGACAAAGCAATCAATGACAAAGCAGTTTTCTGTGAATGACGTCCTGTTTGAGTAGATAGTGCTGTGACACAAAGTAAATACCTGACATGGATTAATCCTCCAGGTAGATAACTGATCGTATCTTCTATGGATTAATGTAGTCTTGCCGAGGTGGCCAGCAAGCAGACAAGCCCGTAATGCGATGTATAAATGTCGAGGTGGCCAGCAAGCAGACAAGCCCCGTAATGCGATGTATAAATGTCGAGGTGGCCAGCAAGCAGACAAGCCCAGTAATGCGATGTATAAATGTCGAGGTGGCCAGCAAGCAGACAAGCCCCGTAATGCGATGTATAAATGTCGAGGTGGCCAGCAAGCAGACAAGCCCCGTAATGCGATGTATAAATGTCGAGGTGGCCAGCAAGCTGACAAGCCCCGTAATGCGATGTATAAATGTCGAGGTGGCCAGCAAGCAGACAAGCCCCGTAATGCGATGTATAAATGTCGAGGTGGCCAGCAAGCAGACAAGCCCGTAATGCCATGTATAAATGTCGAGGTGGCCAGCAAGCAGACAAGCCCCGTAATGCGATGTATAAATGCCGAGGTGACCAGCAAGCAGACAAGCCCCGTAATGCGATGTATAAATGTCGAGGTGGCCAGCAAGCAGACAAGCCCCGTAATGCCATGTATGAATGAATGAATGAATGAATGATGAGATGTCTTTATTTCCTCCAAAAGTATATTCGAAGATTACATAAACAAACATCAGTTAGTTACATATATCCACATATGATATGTACAAAGCACGGATATTTACAACAATGATAGTTCAGAAAGTATACATCAAGGAATTTCTTTAAAGAATAGATGTAGTTCGAAAAATGTAGTATGGTCGTTTGCCATGCTGTTTCATGAAGGCCAGGGATGTGAGTTTTGCACCACAAAACAGTACAAGGGCATCTTCATCATCAAGCATTTCAATTAAGACATATAATTCTACGTCCAGTAGGTCAAGTAGCGTCATATAAAAGTTATTTCTTTGGTTCATTACAGATTCACAATGCAAAATGATGTGGGCATCGTGGTCATAGCAGTACTTATTACAAAGCATACATTCTTTTGAGAATTTGGCTTTAGAACCGACTAGTACAGCAAGTTGTATATGGTCTTTATATTCTGGGTACAGATACATTAGAGTGTAAAGTCTATGTAGACTCAGTGTTTGATGGATTACATCATATCTGGACATATTTTTCTAATGGAGAGTCTCAATTTCCATTGAGCCTCTTCATAAGAGAAGACAGAGCTTATAACTATTTTGCGCCAAACTGTCTTTGACGGAAAATACCAGTTTGCACGTAAGTTGATACATAATCCAGTAGGTTATACTTCCGTGCTGTACATAACAGAGTGTTGCAAATACTGCGTGAGCTAATATTTAAGTGAACAGTGAGTGCTAAAATGCACAGAACAGTGTTTTCGTTGATGAATTACAGGCGTTATTACATAATCTTCCAAGGAATAATAATCTACACTTGTCAATGTACCCAACCATTGTCCAGAGGCCTAGGTTGGCACATACAGAATCTGTTGGCATACGTCTGTTGAACCCTTGAATACATTTAGCGAAATATCGTTGGGTATTTTCCACCAAATCAATGTTTTTGCCATATAGCGTAGGCATGGTTTCACAACCATAGAAGCTTGTAGGTAAAACCATTCTTTTCCATATATTAACACATGTAACTGGATGTAAGTCAGTACTGTTAAGACCCAATGAGCGCAAGGAATTTATGGTTTGCCTGGCCTTTTGACAGTTAGCGAAAACTCTATCTTTACAAGACAGATCTGATGAGAGTAGGATACCACCATATTTTACTGATGGACTTATATTAATAGAGGTGTCGCAAAAGGAGAATGGGAGCTCAGGACAAGATTGTTTCCCTTTCCGAAAAACTACAACAGTGCTTTTCGATGCATTATATGTTAGGCGCCATCTGGAAGCATATTCTGAAACAATATGAAGTGAATTCTGCAGCCCAGACGGAGTGGTACTTAACAGTGTCGTATCATCGGCTAACAGGACTGATGGTACATCAATACCATATACACATATACCATTGTTACTAAGTCTTAATTCAGTTAGTAAATCGTTTATGAAGACAAGGAAGAACCATGCAGACAAGACTCTACCTTGCCCTACACCTTGTTTTACTTCAAAAGTGTCTGAGCTATTTCCGTTGTACATTACAAAAGAAGAGCTGCAGGTGTAGCTGTGATATAGCAGATTCCACATTTTACCCGTTATACCCAAATTGTGGAGTTTTAAGAATAGACCGCCATGCCAGATGCGATCAAAAGCTTTCTCATTATCGAGAAAAGCTGAGACAACTTGGGAGCCACGCTCAGCATAATATGTTACGCAATCATTGAGCATGAACGTCGACATAATTGCACCGTGTTCTTTTCTAAATCCAAACTGTAGAGGGTCTGGAAAGTGGGGATTAATATGGCTATATAACATTGTAGACGTGACAGTAATAGTTTTTCAAATAGTTTCCCTATACAGGAGGTTAGGGTGATACCTCTGTAGTTTTGGGATCACATTTTGCACCTTTTCCTTTATAAAGTGGAACAATCATACCCAGTCTAAAGATATTGGGAAAGTACACAGCTTTCATAATTAGACCCAGAGCTTATCGACCAGTACGTCACCTCCATAGATAAGATGTTCATTGTTTACGTGATCTGGTCCAGGGGATTTGTTACGCTTTAGATTAACCAGATGTTGTTTTAACTCTGATGGCTGGATATCGGCATATAGTACAGCGTCAGCAGCAGTAGAATCAACATGTTGTGAAATTATATCTGCCAGTTTGATATCCACAGATGCTTTAAATTCATCATCTAAAGTTTCAGCATGATGTGGTATGGCGAGGTTAGCATAGTAAGCACCCCACAGGTTACATATGGCCTCTGGTGTGTCCGCGTGGGTATTGTTAAACACTAATTGGTCAACTGTTGACCGCGGGCGTCTCAGCTTACGCACAGATTTAAAGAAGGTATTAATATCTGTTTCTGAAGAAATTTCAAGTTCACGAGATAGTTCTTTGCGTTGTTTTCGTTTGCCTGCCGATGTAAACGACGGAAGTCGCGCTTAGCACGTTTGTATTCTCGATATGAAGTCGAATCGTCTCCCCTTGGTTTGTCGTCTGCGAGCCAGGTTCGCCGAGAGACACGCATTTGGTAATGAGTATCATTTAGGCCGCTACTTTTCCAATATGGCTTTAGATAGGATCTAAATGTTCCAGAGGGAACGCACTCGGAACTAGCACTAGTAAGGGCATTTCTAATCTGTTCATTATAGAGCTCAATGTCTGCAGGTTGTGCTTCATTACATGGCATACATATGTTAGAGAGAAGTCTCTCTGTTTCCTCTGTGTAAGCATTTAATTCAGTGGAGGCAGCTTTGTGCCATTTTGGAATACATGTCTTGGATGTAGGAGTTGCAGATTTATGCTGTACTTTAATATTTACGAAGCAAGGAAGATGGTCAGAGATTGTGTAGTCATATTGATCAAGCACACAACACTGAAGTAAGCTGCTTACCGCATGAGAGGGTACAAGAATATAGTCAATAAGAGACTTGTACAGGTTGTCCTTACTTCTCCATGTGTAGTCCGGACCACACGTGCGAGAGGTATGTAACACGTGTAACACGTAATGCGATGTATAAATGCCGAGGTGGCCAGCAAGCAGACAAGCCCCGTAATGCGATGTATAAATGTCGAGGTGGCCAGCAAGCAGACAAGCCCCGTAATGCCATGTATAAATGTCGAGGTGGCCAGCAAGCAGACAAGCCCCGTAATGCGATGTATAAATGTCGAGGTGGCCAGCAAGCAGACAAGCCCCGTAATGCCATGTATAAATGTCGAGGTGGCCAGCAAGCAGACAAGCCCCGTAATGCCATGTATAAATGTCGAGGTGGCCAGCAAGCAGACAAGCCCGTAATGCGATGTATAAATGTCGAGGTGGCCAGCAAGCTGACAAGCCCCGTAATGCGATGTATAAATGTCGAGGTGGCCAGCAAGCAGACAAGCCCCGTAATGCCATGTATAAATGTCGAGGTGGCCAGCAAGCAGACAAGCCCCGTAATGCCATGTATAAATGTCGAGGTGGCCAGCAAGCAGACAAGCCCCGTAATGCGATGTATAAATGCCGAGGTGACCAGCAAGCAGACAAGCCCCGTAATGCGATGTATAAATGTCGAGGTGGCCAGCAAGCAGACAAGCCCCGTAATGCCATGTATGAATGAATGAATGAATGAATGTCTTTATTTCCTCCAAAAGTATATTCGAAGATTACATAAACAAACATCAGTTAGTTACATATATCCACATATGATATGTACAAAGCACGGATATTTACAACAATGATAGTTCAGAAAGTATACA